GAATCCAGAGAGACTAAAAACTTTTTTAAGTCGCCGCTTCGTAGCAAATCTAATAAAAAAAGGTGCATTTCTTTCTAATTTAACTACAAAAAAAAAATAAAGGTGATTAGTAGAGTTTTTCAAAGCCTGCATATGTATTGTCGAGTACATGTCATCCATTAATTGTAGTTTTTATAAAATAGTAAAATTAAGTTTAATGTCAATATTGTGTGGCTTAGTTCCATTCCAACAATTTCAGCAAAAATATTAGTTGACTTTTAATTGCCGGAGCAATATTAAAAGACAATCTGAGCAATGCGTTTTTGTGCTAAAATAAATTGTGGCAAATCTCAGTGCACAAAAGCGAAAGAAGTTAAATGCCAGCGTTTACTCCGCTTACTTCAGAGTCGGACCCCACATGCTTTTATAATTTTAATAAATGTTTATTTAATGTATTTTACAATTTTCTATTCCACAGGCAATTACCTTAGCGAAGACATGCGAGGCAACAACGGAGATGCGTGAGTGTCGCTCGCCAAAGGATTGGTCTCTGTTGGCTTTGCAGAACACACGCACTGGAAAATCTCATTATCTAGTAATATGCAGGTGTCCAGATCATTTTAAAATGGGTACGTTTAAATTTTATTGGTTATTTCTAGTTATAATAAAAATAGATTGAAAAATCCATGCCGCACAAATAGTTTCTCCATTCTTCCAATTTATTTAACATTAAATTATTTTATTCATAACAAATCGCTGGTATTTAAAAGTACTAATGATGATCATAACAATTTAGTACTACAAGTAACCCTTAAAGGTATAACAGATTATATGGGTTTCTGGGAACTAAATTTTAGATTGTTTGGTTTTATTGGAATCGTAACAAGCAACATTACTTTTGGAGCAACAAGAGTTGTAGTAAAAAATATGAACACAATTATTAGATTAAATAATTTATTTTTCAAAGATACCATATTGCTATAGCTACATTTAGGTAGCTAGTTTTATTATACAAGGTATTAAAACAATAAATAAAACAAACAAAAACAACTAGTTATTAGGTAACTAACAAGGAATTTAGATTTAATCAGATTTAGGCGATTTCACTCAACATTAAATCAACTGTAGAACATATCAATAATTTAAGTCCAAAGATCGCAGGGCTTTTGGCACTTTACACGGCGTATTGGTTTACATACAAAAAATTGGAAGCCTTTACTATATAGTATTTCACTAATATATTCACTGTTTCGATAATCTAACAAATCGCATCTAATGAATGAAAGCGAATTGCATTATCGTGTTTATAGCCGTGAGTAGCTTTATACCTAATAATACGTTTCCACTGGCTTCGTTAGACCAATTAACTTACTGAAGATTCAAGTAATTCAAGAAATCTCAAGTAAGTTAACTGGTCTATAACGTACCCAGTAGAAACATACTTCAAATCAACGCAAGAAGCACTGATATTTTTGATTCAAAGATCAATCGGATTTACGTTCTAAACCCACTTCTGCATCACTGAAAATAATTGCTTACTAAGTAGGCTTCCCCAGGTGAATATTCGGAATAGAACAGCGCATATGCTTTCGAAAGCTTGTACCTATCAACTCAGAATAATAATATTTACTTGATAATAACTGATAATAATACTTAATAGTACCGAAATATGCCGAAACCAATTCACGAAGTCATTTGTCATTGGCAATCTATTATTCCTCAGAATTATCTCCGAATTTCATTGATTTGTATGAAGGGCGAATGAAAGAATAGTCTTTAGTATATTTTTAGTATATATTTTACTAAAGATGTTTCCAAAGACATGCATTTGTTAAATATGTCTATAGTTACTAATACATTTATAGTAGACGTTTGCGAAAAATACCTATGATAACAGAAACATAATGCGGAATACAGACATCTTGTATGTTATTAAAGGATATATTAGTAAAAATATGTTTCGCAATAGATATTAATAATACTAAGTAAAACTTTATATATATGCGTTGTATACCTATATACTACTACAGATAAATATTTTATATATTTTAAACTTATATAAAATAAAAAAAATTTCATACTTCACGGTGGTGTCAACTGAAAAATGATCAACCTCCAAACTGCACCCAGTATGAATAGGACTACTCACTATAGATAAATAATATTTTTTCCTTCTAACTCCTGCAGATTCAAATCTTTTTTTTCAACTCTACTAACATTCCACACCTTTAACAATTAACATGATTAATTAATAGTAAAATATTTTTATAATTAAAATTTTTGTTAATTTATTTCAGAGGGACCAATGGCACATGATCAACCAACCTATGCTAGCGTACCAGGCATACGTGTATTTGGCATGATGTGTGTTAAACCCGGTTACTCAGTGCGTAAGCCATCGGCTCAACCTCCAAAACGTTACCAGCTGCAAAAACCCTTCTACAGGCCACAAAATGTACAAAGCAGCAGTAGCAGTTTCTTAAGCAACAGTCAATTCAATAATAAGGATAATTATGGACGTCCAACATATGGGCTAAATAATGGCGGTTCATCTTCCAGCAGTAATTATCATGGTCAAGATATATACTCAAATCAACATCAAAGCGGATATCAATATCTGAATAGACCAGAAAGCTCACACAGCTCACCACTAAGTTCATCGAATTATCGTCCAGAATCGATCAATAATTTCCAAAATGGTATATATGGCAGAAATAATGAACGCAAAGGAGCCACATCTATAGAAGCAGCAACAGAAGAAGACAACAAAAGCTCTATCAGCACAAGTACATTACCCACAGAAGAAGCGAGAACCACAATGACAGCAGCTGACAGTGAAATTAACAGCAGCAGCTCAGCAGCGGACCTGGGTGTGACCATTAGTGCAGACTCGAGCACAACCATACAAAGTGAAGAAAATAAGCGTGAGAAACGCTCTCTCGCTGAAAATACTATTGATCTAGATGATGACACGCCTGAGTTTCCATGGGATCGTGTGTTGGAGTTTCAGCAGACAATTGTTTGGGACTAAACATGCTCTGCTGATTTTAATTTAATTTAGTTTTACTTAAGAGTTTTAAACAAGCATTAAGATTTCCAAACTAAGCAAAAAGAATTTCAAATTATAAAATTTTCAATGAAACTTACTGTGACTGAACGCAAAAATTTCTAATATCTAATACTTTATATATATTTAAATGGAAAGAGAAGGCATATTAAAAAATATGGCATTTCATTCAAATCTTCTAACTAGAACTTAGCATATTTTGTCGACAGAATATACTAACTGCAAGATACTTTAAATTAATCTAAACTTTATATTTAATTTAGTTAAGTGGCATTTAACATTTTTTTAATATGTAAAATTCAAACATATAACTTCTATATGTTTTAGGTATACGATACGATTTTATAAGTAACGAATTAATTAAATAATTTTAAATGCGCAGAATTGTTTAATTAATTTGTTTGGTGTTGAGTTAGAGAAATACTAATTTCTTTCCCAAGAAAATTATTATTGGTAAAATTCTACAAACCTAACACCGTATCAGTTTAAATTTAATATTTAGCATAAAACTATTTATTATATGCTTAAATGTAGGCTGCATTTACTAGTAAGTAATTTATGAACAAAAATATAAATTTAAATTTAAAATTTTTGCATTAAAATAATGTAATAAATGAATATTTCTATTTATAAAAATAAAATAAAATTTCAAATATAATTGCGTCTGTATAAAACTTATTTACTCACCCAATACTTCAGCATCCACTACTATATTACAACTGTACATCGGACTGACTAAACGTTGAGGTTGATTTTGAAATGCTTGTTTGCAGGCTTCCTTTGCCGTTGTTAAAATTTGTCCTATAAGAAGAAATTCATATAAATATTTCATATACTGTATATAATTCTATTGTGTCTTCACAGCTTACCAGAAAAGGGTCCAAACGATTTGGTATTTAACTCATCATCACTTGCATGCACCGACCATTCCAATACCACAAAACAAACGCCTTGCATAGGTTCTTCACACAATGGCCCAGCGGAAGATGTCAGTTGAAAGCCATTTACAAAAGAACTATTATAATTACAGCGGATATCACTAGTGTCCCTTCCAATCCTACTACTGTCAACATCTGCTGTTCTATTAAGTGCGTACCATAGATTCGGTTGCTCATAATCACTTAAATTAAGTAAAATATTTGTGCCACAATTACGTGGCCCTAAGGCCCACAAACGTTCTACCAACTCTGCTGTATTATATGAGCTGAGTTCTTTTAAATCAAAATCTTTAAAAGCGGCTGTTAAATTAGTCTTAATTTGAGCTAATAGAGAAGTAGATTTCTCTGATACAGGGGACGACTTAGACATGCTTGACAATTCCTGCAATAAAAATTAAATAAATCGGTTGGATTAGAAAAATTTTAAATTCAAGTTAATAATATTTATATTGTAAAAAGTTGGTGCATGTTGGGAGCGAAAGCAATTAAAATGAATGCAAATACACTTGTCAGGCACGTAGTTAGAAATTTAATTTGAGAGGGACTTTCAAATAATATCTGAGATTTATATATATATATATTTAAGTGCAGTCCTTCGATTCATTTTCGTCCTTGCTATGAAAGTAGCCACACCCTTACTTATATTCTACGTTTCTGTACTTATTAAAAAAAGATACCTACAACCTAAACCCATATACAGATTGTGATTTCTGGAACTGCTGGGTCTACTTTATATATAAGAAATGTGGAACTGCCAAGCACTTATATATAAATGCAAGAAAATGCTAGATGGCTACACAACAACATAAACATGAATTGAGATGTTAAAAAACAGAACTAATACTACTATTTATTGAAGAGTTAGTGCTGAGTCACTTTAAGTCTAAGCACATCACATTTTACGGTCACGATGTAGCATTACTTTTTTATAACACCGCGTTATCAAATCTCAAAATGGTTACAGGCTCTTCGGGGAGGTATGCAGATCTGAAGTCAATTATTGTTTAGTCTAATAAAGTGATAAACAATAATCTAGTCAAGGTGTAGAGAGGGGTTTTGAAGAAACCTCCAGTTAAAAAAGAGTATAGCTCAAAAGAGTACTAGCTCAAAACATAATGCATTGAAGGGGTTTCCCTAAAGCAATCTGAATATTAAAAATATATATTTCTTTAGATATATTCATACCTTAAAAAAGCTTGTATACTTTTCTAACAAATCCACTACACTCTGTGGTAATGGTAATGCTATAACTTTTACAGTACTAAGTTTATTCGCAGTTTGTAGAGTAACGATCTTCTTTGTAATATCCTTATCGGTTGCAGTTCTAACTATGGTCTCATTAACCATATCTACTGTAGCATCAGGCACAATAGTTTCACGAAATGATACGATAGGTTTGGAAACATTAACTTTGATTTTTGCATAATTTTCTTCTAAGTCATGGACACATTTCTCGACATGTACTTCACCCAAAGTGGTTATAACATGTTCTCCGGTAGCTGCCACAGACACTTGCACGCAAGCATCAGCCTATAAGTAAAATAATTATAGATTAACAAAATATATCACCTTGTATATGGTATATGTTAAATACCTGATTTAATAATTTCAATCCTTTAATTAGTTTTGGCGTTTCTAATGGATTGACAGGCTCTATTGCCACTCTTAAAATTGGTGTAGCCATAATACTTAACTCACTGAAGGAACTACAGTGTATTGTGCTACTCAATGTAGCAGTTTTAATGATATCATTTTCTAAGCCACCGATACCAACAATATTACCAGCTGGTACTTCATCCAATGGTTGTAGTTCGCCACCCATAAAGAGGTATAAATCACCAACAATTACTTCAGTAACATAAGGCGAGTCTAAGTTAAGTTGACTGAGTAATATAGAGAATATTAAATTAATCAAAAACTAATTAAATTTTTAATAAACCAATTACTCACTCCTTATTGCGTGGGTCATGCTTGGGTGTTAAATTGTATAACTTCATACCGCGTTTTATGGTACCACTAAATACACGTGCAAAAGCTATGAACACAAAATTTTCTTTGTCCGCTTCACAAAGTGAAGAAATCTCTTCCTCGACTTCTTTTGTCTCTACATTTAATTTTTCTACACCAGTTGTTAGGCTCTCCAGTTCAGTTTGTGCAGCCAGTTTTTTTCGTTCCTCAATACGTTTACGTACTTCATCACGTCGAGCCTGCAGTTCATCCTCAGTGAAACGTTTCGGTTTATTTTGTGGTAATTGTGCTATATGCACTGGAAACATCTATTCAATCATTTTTTTTTATTAAAAATTGGAATACTAGAAACTATTGATTAAAAATGTTTACCTTAGAAACAAATGCAATGACATTTTCACTTTTATCATCACAACATTTAAAATCTTCCTTTAAAGCTAATGTCTCTGGTGAGTATGTGCTCAAATCGGCGTTTTCCGGATATAGTAGTCTTTGCGCACGTTCATCGGATATATCATTTGGTGGTGGTATATGTTTTATAACCATTTCAAGCACTGTACGATCAACTGGTAGCCACTGACCAAGCACAGTTTTTATTTGTGCTTTTGGCTCACCTAAGCGTAAGTCACGTGGTAACAACTTAATACCAAGTTTTTCTGCAATGACTAGAGAGGAAAATACATAAATAAACTACTATTTTCTTTTGCATTAGAGAGAGTTAAAGTAAAGTTCTTACCTGGTAATTTCTCTTTGTCTTTGCGTATAACGATTGTGTCATATAAACTCCATATGTTTTCCAGAACAAATTGTACAAACATTGGCTTTTTTGCTTTCTCCTGTGCACCTGCAACAGCACAATTCTTATTCGCATTATAATAGTAATCGCCCCAGAGCACCTGCTCTAATTCCTTACAACCCATATTTAAGCGTTTTGCATATGTGACTGCAAAATCTGTGACCGAAAATGCCCACCCATCAAAAGCAGAACAAAATATTACATTTCCGGCTGCAGGTGAGAAATACAAATTGGAATCATCAACTTCTTCTAGTGCAGATTCATAAGTATCCTATTTATAATTTTTTATAAATCAATTAAATAATTATTTTTAGTAACTTTACTATTCAAGTAGTAGCATTATCGCAAACCTTTTTAGCTATATCCTCCTTCGCGAGCACGTCTGAGGCAAAAATTTTACCAAGTGCTGCGTTTACTTGTTCCAAGATCTGTGATATATGAAAATAGGCATCCAAAGGTGTCATTTGTTTTTCTAAAATCAAACGATCTATTTTGTTAAGCACCAGCACAGGCTTCAATTTCTCAACATAAGTTTGTTGCAGGCACACACTAGTTTGTGGACAAACTCCCTCAACTACATCCACCTAATTTATATAGAGTGAGGAGAGTGATGTTAATTTTGTTAGAAACTTAATTACATTTATTCAATAAATTGTAATATTATTTTTAAACTTAATAATATTTATTATTAAAAGGTTTTGGTGGATATAATTGGAGCTGTGTAGGTCATAACCTATTCATTTCAAAATTATCTCAAATTTAAAAGGATCTAAAAATAGAGACTAGTAAATATCAAACAATTCGTGTATTTAATCATCGAATAGAAATAAGATAATTTCATAACTTTAACTAATACCTTGAAATACATATTCTGATAAGTAAGTGAGGGAATAGATTCATTATTATTATCATACTTACTCACCTCACTTAACAATAGTAAGGCCACAAATCAAGGAAAGATAGTCGTTATCCATATCAAAGTAGTGTTTTTGAGATCATAGGTATTTACATAGCTAGAAAGTTTTCAACAGAGTTCTACCTTAAATCTTTAAAGTATTCACATTTCATTAAAGTCACAATATAGTTAATGCTAAACAGTTATTTATCATGCATATACTCATCAATTTCTAATATATGCTCTAACTACAGTTCTACTCCTTATAACGCCACCTATCTGTTTCGTTATACACTTTTACTTGAGCTTATTGATTTATAGCTTCATCCTATGGACGTGGAAAATATCTTAGTCTATACTAGTTTCAATTAGCACCGACACAAATCTTCCAATAAACTTTGAGATAAATAAATAAACATATTTAATGAGCTAATTCATCACACTTAATTAGCTTGTATCAGACCTAATTGATTCATATCAGAGTTAATTGGATTGTGCCTAAAATAGAGGTAAAGAAAAAAAAAACTTTTCGTTTCGTTTAACATAATAGGTCGGTTCCATGAGCTACTCATAGTAACTTTGAATAACACTGTGTATACACAAGCGCGTTTCACCAGCAAATTTTCAAGTAAATGAGAGGATCTGAGAGGACGTAACATCCCTGTCGAAATTTGAAAATGCTACACAGACTTTTTTCGTAGATTTTACTTCAAGTAAAATTTGTGTTGATGTGTTTTGGTTTGAATTTAAATTTTTGTGTTGTTTATTTGCGTGGCACTGATTTTCTCGTCAGACTTTACACAAAGCTGTTTAATAAAAATCTTCATAATGGCCGTAATTTGACACTTTATTTGTTTTACGCTCTTAGTTTGTACTTTACTTGTGTTTTACTTGAATTTTACTACGAGTACCTCGTGGAACAGACCTAATAAATCGAAAAGTCCAACGCAAACAATTTCTTTAATTAATACTGATATATTGCAATTTATAATAATAAGTCAATGTTAGCTTAAAAGTGCCAAAAGCTGAGTAGTCTGCTTTGTTGTTCTCTTTTTTAACTTTTAACGATATATTCGTAATTAACAAAATAATGTAGTTTATATCACAGTCATTATTATTACTATTGATTTTGAACCCCGAAATCTATTTCCTCTGATCTACATTTTGGCAGTTTCGTTAAATTCGCTGCTGAATCTAGTCTCCATAGTATTAAAATAGTATTAGAAGTGTAAATAGTATTAGAAGTGGTATTAATAAATGTAAACTACATAAAATGTTGACTGTTAACTTAACATTTACATTTAGCCGCTGTGCATAGTAATTTTTGACAGCTTAGGAATTTTTTGTATTTGGTGCTTTAACATATGACGACCAAAAAAATTTTAAATTCATTAACAACTTATTAATATTGGAACTCAGAGAAAGAATGGAATCGAATTTTTTCTATATATCCAAGGAAACTATGGTACTTTGCTTCAGCTTTTAAATATCTAACAACACACGAAGCTTAATTTTACATTGTAATTGACTTAATGAAGGTTTTGATGGCTTTTCAAATTGTTTGCTAATAAATTCTAAAGTAGATTCAAAATATAAATTTAACTTACTACAATAATAGCTCCATCGCATAAACGAACCGCTGTTGAAACTTCACTGGAGAAATCAACATGACCGGGTGAGTCAATAAGGTTTATTAAATAATCTTCCTCATTTGTGACCCCTTTATAATACAACGAAATGCTGCTACTTTTCATCGTAATGCCACGTTCCTGTTCATCTTGCCGATTATCCAAATAACGCAACTTTCCAGCCATACGTTGGGATATGATGCCATTGCTAACCAATAACGAGTCAGCCAATGTGGTTTTGCCATGGTCAACGTGTGCTAAAATGCAAATATTTCGCACTTGTGTTATTTTCTTTTGTATTTGCACTAAATCATTAATATCAACCACAGGCATATTTGTTCACTATTAATTTTTAATAATTATAAAAATTTAAGTTTAAAATCTGATTAGAAAATATTTGCACAATTGTCGTTTGAAAACTCTTCACGTGTCTTGTTTATGTTTACAATTTCAGTGCATGGCGAAATAAAATGACAGCTGACTGTTGTTCAACAAATGTGAGCAAAAGAGAAGTTGCAACACAGCTGTTAATTTTTTGTTTACGAATTTTGGTGCCATAGAGAAACATACTTTATTTACATTTTACACTCATGTTGACAAACTGTAGATGGCGCGTCTGTTACATTTTGACATTCAGACAATTACTCATTCATTTCGTTACTTTCGCCGAAATTGCGTGGACACGTTTTCGATTCAGCACGAGTGTTTCTGATAGCCAATCTAGTAAAAATGGTGCAATTAACGGCAGCAGAAAAGAAAGAATTTATCACACGTAATTTACAAGAAGTGCTGGGTGAGGAGAAGCTAAATACTATACTCAAGGAGCGAGACTTGAAAATATACTGGGGCACTGCTACGACAGGAAAACCCCATGTAGCTTACTTTGTGCCGATGTGCAAAGTCGCTGACTTTCTAAAAGCTGGATGCGAGGTAAAAAAAAAATAGTTTTTTTTATCATTATTTACTCATGAACAATTAAATATTTTTGTATAAAAATAGGTCACAATTCTTTTTGCTGACTTACATGCTTATTTGGACAACCAGAAAGCACCATGGTCACTACTTGAATTACGTTCCAAATATTATGAGGCAGTAATTAAGGCAATGTTGTCTTCTATTAATGTGCCATTGGAAAAGTTGAAATTTGTTAAAGGCACAGATTATCAGTTATCCAAAGAATATACACTGGATGTCTACAGGCTGAGCTCAGTAGTAACTCAACACGACGCAAAAAAAGCCGGTGCTGAAGTTGTTAAACAAGTTGATAATCCTTTATTAGCAGGTTTGTTATATCCTGGCTTGCAAGCGCTTGATGAAGAATATCTAAAGGTTGATGCTCAATTCGGCGGTGTAGATCAACGAAAAATCTTCGCACTTGCTGAGAAGTACTTGCCACAATTGGGATACGAAAAGCGCATTCATCTTATGAATCCTATGGGTATGTTTATATGCATTTATATAAATTGACAATCAACTAATTGTGCTCTTTTAACTTAACTAATCGTTAAAGTACCTGGTTTGGCTGGTGGAAAAATGTCTTCTTCTGAAGTGGATTCTAAAATTGATCTACTAGACTCTCCAGCAAACATTAAAAAGAAGTTGAAAAGAGCATTTTGTGAACCCGGTAATATTACTGACAATGGTTTGCTCTCTTTTGTTAAATATGTATTGTTTTCGCTGTTTAAAGAAGGCGAAGGTAAAGTAATCATTTCATCACCTTCAATACGTTACTCATTTTTTTTTTTTTGATAATTATTTAAGGTTTTGAAATCAATCGTACAGAAGAAAATGGTGGCGATATCACTTTCCACAATTACAAAGAATTAGAAATATACTTTGCGGAAAGTAAATTACATCCTGGTGATCTGAAAGCAACAGTTGAAAAGTATATAAATCGTATTTTAGATCCCATCAGAAAAGCATTCGAAACTCCAGAACTTCAGTATGATATATTTTCTATTTTTGTTTTAAATAAATTTACAATTACAATTTTAGGAAATTAAGCGAAGCGGCTTATCCACCACCAGCGAAAACCAAAATTGCCAATTCAAGTCCGTCAACACAAGAAGAAGATAGTCCACATCGTTTAGATATACGTGTTGGAAAAGTGGTTGAAGTAGCGCAGCATCCCGACGCTGATACTTTGTATGTCCTCAAAATTGATTTGGGTGAAAAGGAACCACGTACGATTATCAGTGGTCTGGTAAAATTTGTTACAGTTGAAGAATTAAATCAACGACTAGTGGCTGTTTTATGCAATCTCAAGCCATCTAAAATGCGTGGTATACTCTCTGAGGGTATGGTATTATGTACATCAAAGTAAGTACATATGGAGCTTATGCCCATAATTTGGTACTCTAAATTGGGTTCACTGTTTTTTTTTTATTTTGTAGCGCTGATCACACCGTTGTTGAGCCAATTATTGTGCCAACAGCTGCTACTCCAGGCAATCGTTTGGAATTTGAAGGCTACAATGGAACACCTGATGAACAATTAAATCCCAAAAAGAAAATTTGGGAAAAGCTCTCTGCCGATTTTAAAACTAATGCTGACGGTGTTGCAGTTTGGAAAGACAATTTTCTTTTGACGCCGGAAGGTGAAAAATTATGCAGCAAACTTTCGAATTGCTGTATTAAATAAAAATTGCTGCCTTAAACAATTATTGTTACATTAAATCATTAAATAATATCAAAAGCGCATCTATGAAGTTATCGAATGTTTTAAGTAAGATCACCAGCGATATTACTTTACAGACTTGGTGTTTAATTTATATATATATGTAAAATATGTTATTAAAAATTATTTTTTTTTAATGAAATAAATTGCTTCACTACATATCCATTTCTTTTATGTTATATATAAGCCAAATTTAAAAAAATAATCGTAATAAATGCAGCATCAACTGGCGAACCCTTAGCTATTGGTCAATTTTTCTTCACTGTTTTAGTTGCAGTGCAAAAGATAATAAATCACAATCATGAAAAAAGTAATGTGGTTGCAGAAAAAGTATGCTTTAAGAGGATACTCATTGCAAACGATTCCGAATTAGATAGTCCATTTGTTAGATATAGCATAAAAGTAATGCACAATACTAAAATAGTGTTTTAGGGCAATTGCATACGTGACCGAAGTTGTAAGAAAACAATCTTTTCGTCATGATTACCATCGAAAGTATTTCCTTATTCGATAGGCCAATCGTCAGAGTGACAGTCCATGCGTTGTTTATATGACTTTCGATAGTAGATAGGCGGCGCCACATTAATCTCTTCAAGGACGCAATCTATAAGAAGTATAATTCATAAAATATTTGCCTAATATTTTTAAAGATACCATTTAAATCACCAGCTGTATATCTTTTTAAAATGATGTAAGGAAAAGAATTGTCGAAAACGACAAATATCAACGGAGGAGCTATGTAGTGGCTTATCAAAACTATTTTCGCGGGCTTATATAATTTATTAATATTTTCATCACAAGACCATAAGAGAGATGAAAAAATTGTTAGAGGTGTTATCACACCTCTAATGTGTCAATGTGTTAGGTACTTCATGTCTTGCTATGACCATTCCTCGCAACCTTTTTAAAATATCTTGTTGGAACTAACTTAGTGAGTGATCTTTTAAATTATTGTAATGAATTATTAAGAGAGACAATTATTAATATTATTTACTAGAACACCAGTAGAATCGATAGGTTAAGTATTACAGCTATTATGACAAGTAACGACAAGATGGCACTAAACTCACATTTCTTCATTCTATACCGGCTTTTGTCATATTTCTCTTCATCATGCACTACGGCATATCATATATTTTCACCATGTCCCCAGTATTATCCCAACTTAGGAAAACCATTGGATAAGCAGATTACTGCAACTTAAAAATGAAATGCCGCTAGATTTATACGCAGCTTTCGCACCGACTTTAACTTTGCTTGAAGAGAATCGATTCAATCGTTAAAACAACAAAGATCAATTATAAACAAAAAATTTGTTCTTTTTTTTAAATGCGGGAAAAAGTTTTCTTCGGAAATATGGAATACATCAAATGCTGGCATTTATGACTAAAACATATCAAAACTATCTCTAAAAAATTTATGATCAAATTTATGATATATAAGCCGTTGGAACGTGAAGGTCAATGTGCTAAGAACCCATTTATATAAAAGCCTATTTTTTCGTATGTATAACAGGATAATACTATAAATTATACAGAAAAAGGAGTTCTCCCCATATGACTTATATTTATTAATAAATTGGGAAACAAATGGCGGTGTCATTTGGATAGCGATTTTAATTATACAAACTAATTTCAGTTAGATTCTTTAATTTTTTGTAAAAATTTTATTTAAGGGCGCTGTTATAGGAGTGATAGCACATTTTTGTAACTAACAGGCATTACCTTGCAATATTAAAATAACTGAAGAACAAAATAAATTTTTAAATACTTCATCTTATGTTGCAGATAAAAGAACATATCTCTATGTCTTGAGAAAAATCACAAGAAAAAAAATTAAATCTATATAATTATAATTATAAATTATATATTCATTTGATATGCAAGAATATATCGTTCAGTATAACATTAACATTTATGATTTAGAATTATTATCTTCAATAACTACTCCATTCGATTGTTTATACGAGTTGCCGTTATTGTGTTAATAGGTTCAATGAGTTAAAAAAGTAGCAGTGATGGCAACCCTGTACGAAATCTATAAAATGTCATAACAAACAAGTACGACATTATACCGCACGTGCAGCAATTCAACTGAGTTTGTGAGCCTTTATAATTTTTTTAATTTAGTTATAAAATTAAGTTATCAAAACTTGAAAAAATGCCGCCTGCAAGAACTGTAAAAATTGATATGACAGTAAAACCTAAGAAAACTGTGTTTGATGACGAAGGAGAAATAGTGTCCGCAGAGACAGCAAGTAAGAAGCAAAAAAAGAAAACTTTTAAAAATTCTGATGAACAAGTCGAAGAGGAAGATTCAACAGATAACGTAAATGATTATGGTGAAGATGATTATTTTGTCAAGCGTGACAAAGAAAGAAAGAGCCAACAAAAAACCACAAATGCTGATGATCCACAAACCAAATGGTTCAATGCGGTATGTAAAAGTCAGGACGTAATTTTGTGTAAAGTCTTTGATATTTTCTTTTCTTTAGTTTCCACAATATGCTTCCACTGATGAAGATGTAGATATAAAGGATAATGAACAAATGACTTTGTATAATATGTGTAAAAGCTCTTTTGACGAGGAAATGCCATCATACTTGAAACGTGTGTAGTTTAAATTAAAAAAAGAATTTGTATTAAAATTTTGTGTTTTTAGGAAATCCCTCGGATGCACGTTGGTTACAAACTGCGCTGCATAAAGGTACCGCAAAAGATCGAGCCAATGCTGGTGCATTACTTGTGACAAGTAATCCACTTGCCAATTTGGAAGCACTATCAACTCTAATCAATTTTACGAAATTATCGAATAAATCTTGTGTAGAAGTAATTGGAATATTGACTGATTTGTGGAAAGAAGTCTTATTGCCACCACAGCGTAAACTGTTGTCATTACAAATGCGTGGTGCGGATTGGAAAACTATACGTAAGGATACTTTATTAACCAAAGAACAGCAGAGGCGCATATATGCTTATTGGTATTTTGAAAATGAGTTGAAGGATCATTACTTTGGTAAGTTACACACTTGATAAATTTAAATTAAATGTGATAACCTTTTATTGAAAATCTTGCCTTTAGAATTTCTTAAAAACTTGCAGCAGGGTATGCAAGCTGGTCAAGAAAACAATAAAAATCACTCCATCGTATGTGCTGCACAATTACTTGCTTTCGCACCAGAGAAGGAGCAAATGTTACTAACGATGCTGATCAATAAATTAGGTGATCCAGTTGCTAAAGTAGCATCGAAAGCACTCTATCATCTTACCGAAGTTGCACATAAACATCCAAACATGTGTGGCGTCATTGTAGCTGAAGCAGAGAAATTATTGTTTCGTAACAACATATCAGAGCGAGCACAGCATTTTGCACTTTGCTTTTTGGCTAGCATAGCCTCCGCTGGCAGTGCTGATGTTTCAACCAAAATGGTTAATATATGTTTTGCACTATTCAAAGTGTTGGTCCAAAAGGGTGCAGTTAATAATCGCACCATGCAAGCTATACTACGTTGTTTACAAAAAGCCATACTTGAAGCTAAACCCAATAAGTCAAGCAATGAAATACTGAATAAGGAAATGCAGGATACTGTATATCGTTTGGTACACTTAGCTGATATACGCATATCAGTACAAACACTAGGATTGCTGCTTCAGCTGATCACTATAAAAACAGAGAAATCAGATCGTTTCTACAATGCCTTGTATAAGAAAATGTTGGATATGGAAGTTACAAATATTGGCACTAAAACTGCTGCACAATTGTTGCATATAATACATAGAGCCATGCATATTGATGCCAATGTGCCACGCGTACAGGCATTTATCAAACGTCTACTCCAAGTAGCACTCTATGTACCCTCTCAAGTAACAGCCGGTTGTCTGATTGTTATATACAAACTGTTGCGTGCACGTAAGGAGCTGCTTAATGAAGAAAATGATGAAGAAGGTGCAACTATAAAACTGGCTCAAGTCGCTCCTGATGATGAAGACTTGGCCAAGTTTGATAGTGATGGTGAAGAAAAGTATGAGGATGTGAAACTAGATGAAAGTACAAATGAAGGTAATGTTACAAAAGATGAAGAGGAATTCATTGACGCAGGTGAAGATGTGAAATCGACTCAATCCTCTTGGCATCATGCCAAAGTGCCAAATGACAATGTGGAAATTAAAACAAAAGAGATAAATGCCACTAAATATGATCCATATCATAGAGTGCCTGCATTTGCCGGCGCTGAATTCACACTACGCTATGAACTGCTATTGCTGCGAGAGCATTTCCATCCCACTGTGCAAGTATTTGCTGATAACATATTAAACCGTAAGTGCTGAGTGCAAGTAATTGGTTTGCATATAATATTTCTATAAGTCTTCATATTATATATATATAGGTATAAATCAATTTTAATCAATTTTGCAGAAAAACGTATCGATTATTATGGTGATCCGCTAAGAGATTTTGGGCTGCCACATTTCCTTGAACGATTTGCGTTTAAAAATCCGAAAAAACTAGATAAACAGAAAGCAGAAACACCAACACTGGCTCATAAACGATATTTAGCTTATGGCGCACGTGGTAAACCCGTCAAATCACTAACAAAGCAGAATTGCGCTGAAGAAGAAATGTACATTTTTAATTTTTTGGAAAACAAAAGAAAACAGGCTGCACATATGAAACAGAAGAAAACGGGTGAAAAGGACGGTGATGACGATGATGAGACACTCAAAGGTGGAGATATAGATGATGATGAATTTGAAGACTATCTTGATGGCTTCTTTGGTAAAAAAGCTAAAGCTGCGGCTCAAGCAGAAAGAGCTGAAGAAGAGGAATTAGATTTCTTGAAGGAATTAGGTGGTGAATTTAAAGATGAGAAGAAAAAGAAAATAAAGAAGAAGAAGTCGGACGATGATGAGGATGATGGCGCTGCAGATATTGATGCAGATTGGGGTGATGATGTTGCTGAAAACGATAATGACGATCTTGATGGTAGTGATAGTGATATGTCGGATGATGAAGATGGTTCGATTGATTTCGATAATGATGATGACAATGATTCAATGGATGACAGCAATAATGGCTCTGAAGCTGAAGATGACATTGATGAAATGAGTGTGAGCGGTGATGATGATATTGCTGATAATGATGATGATGATGATGATGACGATTCATCACCACCAAAAAGTAAAAAATCACGTAAACAACTCCATGCAATGAATGAGAAGAATTTCGCCAAAACATTAAAGCACAGTTTCGGTAAAGCATTGATATATTTAAATGAAATTAAAAAAAATATTTTTAATATATGTGTATTGTTTTCAGATATGAATTCACTGTTCGCTGCAGCGGATGATTTTGCAGAATTACTTGAAGAAACTGGCAAAACGAAAGGTCAAGGCACAGCGAATGCAGTTTTCAATAAAGATAAATCCTCAAACAAGCAGTTGAAATGGGAGGAGAAACGGCGTTCAAACGCGAAAACGTACGGCAAAAAAGGTGCAAAAGGACCGAGTGCAAATAAAAAATTTGCAAAAAAAAGAAAAAATTAAGACAACAAAAATTTGAAAAACAAAAATAGTTATAAGTTAATCTTTAGTTAATTGTGTATCACATATACTAATTAAAGTTTTATTTCATAATAAAGTAAATAAATCAAAATCGTAGTATGCATACATAAAACAGGATAGAAGCCGTTAATAAAAGAAAATGCAGGTTTCATTATTCAATAAAATCAATAATTGTTTAGATTTGTTGTTTCCAATGAAATAATGTTAAATTTGATAAATGTGAACACAGAATGAAATCATTTAAATTAATATGTTGGTTTTGCTGCGACTTTTTTGAATTTGAAATGAAATCAGTTACTGGAAAGTAATTTTCCACTTTACAGCGGCTTCAACATGCTTGTGGCTGATATGTTCGTAACAGACATAATGACAGTTGGTGTACAGAGGCTATTTACCTCAAATTATTTGCCGATGTTAAATACAAAACAGCTGTTGATGTAAACAAAGTATTTGTTGTGTTTACTTTGGCATACATTAGAGTCTTGTAATATTTTTATTTAAAATACATTTATAAGAAATGATTTCAATAAAACACTTTAAAGCAACAAATATTTTATTTAAACAATTTAAAATATTAAGCCACCGTTTGCATAGTGAAGTGCGAGTGCGTTTTGCACCAAGTCCAACAGGTACATGTGTTAACTAAAATGGAATAAAATTATTAAATAAAAAATGTTTTAAGGTCAATTACATTTGGGTGGATTACGTACTGCACTTTATAATTATCTTTTTGCTAAAAGTAAAAAGGGAAAATTTTTGCTGCGTATAGAAGACACAGATCAGACGCGTTTAGTGTCTGGAGCAACTAAACTGCTTATAGATGATCTCTTATGGGCTGGTATTAACATAGATGAAGGACCTAATTTTGGTGGTAACTATGGACCATACATACAAAGCGAACGTTTACATATCTATAAGTAAATTTATCTACACTTTTTCTATTAAATACTTGAATCATTTTATGTAACTCGTAATTTTCTAGAGAAAATATGCGGAAGTTATTGGAAAATGGATCAGCTTACCATTGTTTCTGCACTGAACGTCGTTTAGAGATGCTGCGTAAGGAAGCTATGCGTACACGACAAATTCCACGTTATGACAATAAATGTCGGCATTTAAGTCCACAAAAAGTAATGCAGTTATTGGGGAAGGGCACACCATCTTGTATACGTTTTAAATTAACATCTCATGAGGATCCTCTACAAGATCTCATATACGGACCAGTTCAGCATAATGTAAGCGAAAATGAAGGTGATCCAGTTATTCTTAAATCCGATGAATATCCCACTTATCATTTTGCAAATGTGGTTGATGATCATTTGATGGGCATTACACATGTTTTTCGTGGCGTTGAGTGGCAAATTTCGACAACTAAGCATTTATTACTTTATAAGTAAATATAAAAATTCAATCAATTAGTAAATTGAGAAATAATAAACTCTTCCAATTTATTAACAGAGCTTTTGGCTGGCAGCCACCACAATATGGTCATTTACCACTCTTGGTGAATGCTGACGGTACCAAACTCAGTAAGCGTCAAGGTGATATTGGTATATTACATTTTCGGTAATATATAGAAAATTGAATATAACTTGAACAATATTATTATGTCTAAATTTTTAGGAATAAAGGCTATTCACCAATAGCTTTGTTGAACTATATAGTCTCCGCTGGAGGTGGGTTTACTCGTGATCAATTCGCTAAACCTCAAATATATAACATTGATGAATTGGCGGCACAAGTATATATTTTACCAATAAGTTATTTTTTTATAATCAAAATACATGTTTTTTCTTAGTTCAATATAGAAAATGTTAATTCGCATCCTAGTCGTCTTAATCCTGAATTGCTTGACGCCTTTAATCGTTTAGAGCTTATTAGATTGATTAATAATGAAAGCACTCTACCAATTTTAATCGATCATGTTAAAAATTTAATCAAAGAAACTTACCCAAATGAGTAAGTTACTTACCTTTACGATATTTTTAATCATTCTCTCTATAATCTTCATTTTGTCTTTAGACAAAACCTAGACCTCAACACAGCGCACATTGAGTACGTTTTACGTTGGTCCTCAAAACGTATCACCTTTCTTAAGGAATTAACTTCAGCAAAACTTAGTTTTCTATGGGTTAAGCCGAGTAATTTCAGTACCAAAGATATAAGTACGGCACAGATTGAAAAACTACGCGATGTATTGCAGAGTTTAGAATTCTCAAAGGATAATCTAAGTAACGCAATTAAATTATTTGCAGTTAAAGAGGAACTAAATTTCGCTTTACTTATGAAAAATTTACGTTCCATTCTTAGTGGACTTAAGGTTATTATTATTTGAAACTTTTTTAAATAATAAATTGATTATCTCTGAACTATTTTATTTTATAGGAGGGCCCTGGAGTTGCGGAAATGATGGATATTTTGGGTAAGGATGTCGTAGTGCAACGTTTGGAAAACATGTTACAAAATGAGCAATTGCAAAAAACAAAAGCGATTAGATAAGTTAAGTCTTGCACAAATAAAAATTGTACATAATTAGAACAAATTTTCGTTTTATTTAATATGACTATTATTAGATAGCATTTTGTGAAATAATATATTTATAATATATTTTACTGATGTGTAATTATCGCTTATAATACATATTCCTGGGTTGCCCTTATAAATAAATAAACTACTAATAAACAAAGGTCGTAAACGATCCGTAAATTGGTTCTTTGTTTTTAATATTATCGGATCCAATTGTTTAAAATTATATATGCCAATTATAAGCTTACGCCTTACAATGTCATCAATTAAGTTAACATAAAGTATAATTTCATAAACTGTTCCAAACAACTCATTCCTTAAAGAGCCAATTTATAGACTATTCATAACCAGTAATATGAGAATACTTTAATCTAAACACAGCTCTGGCTAAATATTACCTTATAAAATATCTAATTGAAGCGCACTGTGTATACCGCACTGCTACAGTGTGGTATACACGATTAATGTTCCACAGACCTACATGCTGTATATATTGTTAAAAGCAAATTACTAATTGACTTTTACTACATCACGAAGTAGCTACAGTTTTGCTGAATAATATTCATTTAAAATAGATTGGCAGATATCAGTACGAATATCGCTGATAAGCATTTTATAGCGACAGTCAACTAAACTTCTTCGACTCTTTAGTTTATAATTTAAACTACAAACTAATCTTAAACATAAATAATAAGATCATATAATAATATGTATACATATATTTATTTTTAAGTTGCAATTAGAGAATAAATATTTTATTTTAAATATATGAGTTTATATGTAATATCCACCAATAATATATATGTATATATTAAGATTCTTAATAACTTGAAGTTATATTTAAAAGTTGATTTTTTCATTAAAGTAAATTTAAAACAAAATATAAATTTAATTAACAAATAAATTATTACTAAAAATATGCATTTAAAATTTTAAGGAGCAAAAGACTTATGTACTTTATATTTTATATAATTTACCGACTGTTGCACACGCAAAGGTAATTAACAAATACATTTACTTTATAGTTAATATTGGTAAGAATACTTTAATATTTAAAGATTATGATTTGATTCATTTGTTCAGTTTTAAAGTCAGCATGTTTAACTGAAGTCACGATTAGACAACACGATAGGAGCCACCAAAGTCCAACCATAAACAAGTACACCCAGCCAACTGGAAATGATCTTAATCCACATTGAAGCAGCATTTGCATTGAAAAGTTCTATATCTGAATTAGGTCTGTAAGAGAGCGTAAAGAGTAAGTAAAATATTTATAATTAGCTGGAAACAATACTTAAATGTGTTCTAAGAATAATATTTATACCACAACAATCTCAATGTAGTCTTTGAAATAAAATAATTGTTGAATAATACGTTGGCTTATACTCGTATTATGAATTATGACTCATTGAATATATTGTGGAAATTTGTAGCTTAAATAATTAAATAAAATTGATCAAAACTTACTTGTACCAATTGGTCAGCGTCATCATGATGTAGAGTGAAGCGCAGACAAATACAATGTGAAAGAGGGACCAAGAATATGTAACGCCTTCACTTTCATTATCGGTATTGACTTTACCATCGGCGGTGCCTGCTTCTGTATCTGATAGAGCTTCTGTTAAAACTTTATTTGTTTAATTTTTACATATTACAAATTTGTTAGTTTGTAGCGTAACCAAACCAAATAAGATTATTAGTTAGCACGTGTTACATATAATATTTACATAAAAAAACATCATGAAAAGAAGAAAATAAAAAAAAATTTGTGTTATTTTTAAATTGCAGAAAATCAATGTAAAGTCTATTAAATTAAATATAAAAATAAAATGATTTCTTAATGAAGAAAAATGATAAGATAAGAAGAAAGTTAATATACATATGTTCTTAGGTTAGGCTAGGTTAGACTGTCAAAGCAGCCTTGTACACGAAAGCTCACTTGAGCATAAATAATACGGACTCTGTCTGTAATACAGAACTGAAAGACCATCTTAAAGATAGAATTCCGAAGCATTATTTAATAATGTAAATAATAGTTTAGGTGCTTATATAAATATATATTTAAATATGTTAGTATGTTATATATACGTATATAATATCTTTAAATATATTAGTATATTTATATTTATGGTATATAAATTAAAAAATATAATTCTACACCTAAAACTAAAATATGTTTTTACTAGTGCTTATGAGTGAATAACATATAAGGAAATAAAAAAATAAAACTTGGCTCACCACGTTTTTCACCGTCATTGTTAATTTTGGAAACCTCAACAGCAGAACTGATGCAATTATACAAAATGCAGAGCATCCAAACAATCAAACCAATTATATTACTAGTACTGAAAGTAACCTTGGAGTTTGGAGTTGAGGGCGAATTTGCTACATTATTATTATCAATTATGCCGAACATGCCAGGATTGCAATCTTTCTCTGTTTATAAAAGATATAAGAAAAATGTAACATTATTTAAGTATATCCATAATATATATATAGCTTACCTGGATTATTAGCAATAGCAGACCAAGTCAAGTATACAATATAAAGTGTCACCAGAGAGCTTTGTAACAAACCAGAGTGTGGTAATCTCTCTTGAACGGCTGGCAAAACTGACAGAACGCTAACAACCAAGCAGAGAATCAAATTGATGGATATAAAGAACTTGTTGAGACCACATCCTTGTGACTATTAACATATTAATTAAATTAAAAAATAATCATATAACTTTCATAATAACTTACATGTGTGAAATACACATAAAGCAGTGATATACCAACAATCGAGAGTATGTAACTAATTAAAGTGACAAAGATTAGAGCATAATAGTATCCGCGATTATTTTCAGCACTTTCTGTAAATGTATTATACATAATATTACAAACTCTTCAACGAACTGATAATGGCATATAGTTATTACCGATCCAATTTTCTGCTACTGTATGCGCGAAATCAACAATAATAACCAATTGCACTAGTATAAATGCCAGACCACCAAATAATCCCACCCACATCATAGCTGGACCAAACGAACCATCTGGTATGAATATTGCACCAATTGCAGCACCAAAGCAAATCAAGAATTTAAGTCCCCAAAATTCATTTTGTATGTGAGAGCGTGGGTCTCTAGAGCTTCTAACACCAAGCATTATCAGTGCCATTAGAGTAAAGAAACAAGCTAGCCCGAAACAAATACGATAAACAGCCATATATCCTAAAGCATATTCACAATCAAATTGTAAGTTTCCACCAGATACTAGGTCTATGCTTTTCGAGCTGTAAGTAGATGTGGAATTAATGCAGAATGGCATTTTCCTTAATGTATTTTGTAGTCCTGGTGATAAAGTTATGGCACCCAGAATAGTTCCCACCAATAGCATGAAAGCGTACATAAAACGCGAGGACGTAGAGTTTTTGCATGATGGACAAGCGCTGCAACACATACTGGCAGCTGTTCCAGTACAACACAGTGCACACTGGAAGGCATAATGTAATGTAATATAAATATAATTTATATATTTAAAAATAGTATATTTTTTATTAACTACTGAATATGTTTTTATATTAAAGAAAGACTTTTATTTTAATGTATGTAACAATATTGATTTTTTCATATTTTTTTTCTGCGCAGTAGATGAGTTTTATTTCTTGGAAATAATTTAAAATTAACTTGTATTTACCTGTGCTGCGGAACACATGCTACTCGCAATACCCATATTTAAATTAAGAATTCACACAATAAATTTATAAGTTATTTAGTTATTATTATAACTAAAGATACAAATATTTTTTACAACTGGAAAATCCTTTGTTTTTCTTTTACGCTGATCGGTTTGGATTATTGCACACAGATAAGCAGAAATGTCAACAAATGTCTACTAAGCATACCAATAGGAAAGTTCATGGATTATGACGTTGTAATGTGTTTAACAGTTTGTTATTGAGAATCAAGAAACTATAAAAACTATTGTGAATAAGATTTGCAAATCTTGGTTTGAAAAAAAATTGAAAATAAATTTTAACATAACTGTTAATGAATGTATCAAATTAATTCGTTTTAAATTAATACAAATATCATAATTATAAAAATTTTTTAAAAACATTTTCTTTGGTAAATCATTAATAAAATTCGTGAAGAGGTTTATTATGCAAATATATCATATTTCACGCTTAAGCACATTGTAACGACGCTCATAAGTGTCTGTTATGAAATGTCTACTGACAGTAGACATTTGTCTACTGAGTCGATTTGTAGGCAAATTTCGTATTCAATTATGCTGTTGACTAAATTTAACTGCATTTCATGTAATAAATGTTCAAGGTTCAGTGAAACCTATTCTAAAAGAACAAAATTTCTTCTTCAAAAAACTAGACTCAATAAAATGAATAAATTATTGCATCCTTACACGTGCTGTATCTTTTTCGTTGATAATAAAAGTTTTCCAGTTTATTCAATACGTTAATAAAGATGATAATTTAGTTTACAAAAGAGAGAAAATCACATAGGAAAATACGAAAATTTATCAACAAAATCAAACCAATAGTTGCAGACAAAAGCAGTCATGTCGAAAATTAAATATTATTAACAAATAATTACAATTATTATAATTATCGATACAAATACAATTATATGTATTTACAATGAAATTAAAAACGTATTGTTCATTTCGACAATGAACAATAATCAAATCAACTAAAATCACTGACAAATCATTAGCTACTTAGATATATCTTAATATTTTATTTGATCGTAGATTGCGTGAAATAATTTATATTCAAACTTTTAAAATATGTTCTGAAATAAAATTCATATTAAATAAAATTTCTAAATTTTCTATACAACAGATAAAATTCAGAGCAAACTTTTAGTTTGCAAGGTCAAAATTCAACCTTTCAACTTTTTTGGAATCATATTTATTTTCTAAATTTTCAGTTTATAAATTTATCAGTTTGGATATATCCTACCAAAATGCATTATTGCGGAACTGTTTTTAGGCTAGCAAGAGTGCAGCCAATTATACACAAACAAAAAGAGTAAGTTGAATTAAATTGTATAATAATATGTTTATAGTTATAATTATCTATTCTCATTAACACATTTTTGTATGATTTTTATATTAAACTGCACATATTAAATTGCAAAAAATTATTGCAATAGTGTAAACGTACTGCTAGTTTATATATTATATGTGCATCTCTTGATTGTTTGCAATTTATTAATAATCAATGTAATCATAGATTATTAGTGCCAAATAAATTAGATATATTTTTTACATAAATACTATGGAATTTCATTTAGTTATATAAAAACAATTTTGCACAAAACTAAATATGATTGCATTTTCTATATAATTGAACTTATCAAATTTAAAAACAATTGTGAATTTTCTATTAAAAAAGTAGAAGCATTTGTTTGCAAAAATTTTGGTGATCCAAATAAATAGCAAAAATCATTAAATGTTTCAATAAAATGTTTCTTCATTGACAAGTTTTTTAATTGATTTTGTGATATATTAATGTTAGAATATATATTTACCAAAAATGTGTTTTTTTTTTATTATAATTTTATATAATAAATCAAGTTTGCCGCCAATAGAGAAGACGTTAGCTAAGAAACGTCATTCAATTCGCCGGTTTATACAATATTTATTTTAGTTTGAGTTTTTCTTCTCTATAATTATTAATTAAATTTATTTTACAATATTAACATGGTAATGACGTGTTTAAAACTTTCTTTCATCTCATAGTTTTGTTGGCCACCGCAATACACAAAGACAACTTCCTCAAGTTACACTTAACCGATACAAATCATCAGTTTTTGATGTTGTCAAACCAGGACCTCCAATTGAAGTTTTCGCCTTAAACAAAGCATTTGCTGAAGATAAAGACCCGAACAAAGCTAACTTGGGAGTAGGAGGTAAGTACTAATGAATAGATTTTTTATATAATATACAAACAAAGTTCGTTTCACTTTAATAAGTCTTTAAAGTCTAAGTCTTTAAAATTGAAGACTAAAAAAACAGCGAACTCAACACCTTCATATTTCAGATTTCGAAACATAATTTTTAAATTCATTTCATTTATTAATTATAAAATATATATAAATGTTTTTATACCTGTCTAAGGATTGTATTATGCACAAAGTCGTATGACGAATAGCCACGGCAATTTTAGGTCATGATCTAGTGATATTAGACGGACAATTAAGGAAGGCTTGGAATAGAGTAAATATACGCGGAAAGAAAATTAATGACTCATACCTTCACTTCTTTCTTTGACTAATGAATACAACAGCTGTTGTTTAAAAAAATCTTTAGTCGGTTTGAATCTCTATAAGGCAGTATATTGGAAATTTGCATATTTTTGCAATTTGTTTAGTTGAGAATACTAATTAGTTGATAAAATTTGTTTAACAATTTGTGACAAAATTATTTCAATCTTTGGTCGAAAAGTTGACATATACAAATTCAAAAATTATTCATAAATTTAATACTAAATAGAACTTATTAAAATAGAACTTAAAAATAGAACTTGCTAATTATGACTAAATTATTCGAAGTTTTAAAGTGCATGGGTAGCGCCCACGCAGTGCATTTCTTTTAAAATAAAGGTAGTATCTATTTCTGTATCTGTAGAGTATCTTTGACGTTTTGATTTTCATACTTATCCCCCTATAAATAAATTGTGATATTTATATATAAACCTACTCATCCTAATTTACATACTGCATGCTTTGCCAGAAGTAATTGTAACTATCATTTATACTTTCCAAGATAATTGATAGGTGACATACTGGACTTCAAATTCCTTAATCACCAGAAATATTTTCGAGATGTTCTCTCCAACAGTTGCGGTTATAGTCTTTTTATAAGAAATATGTAAAAAAAATTCTAAAACGTTGAACTGATTGCTTCAAAATTGATATTTCAGCAAAGGAGTTTAGTTATTATTTCACAAAAATATTTACATCAATATAGACTAATATCTATACCCCAATATTACTTATAATTTTAATCTTATTTATGAAGCAAATGAAGTACATAAACCATAAAGTGTATTTAACAAACTTAGTGTAACATACTGATTTTTAAATTTATTGCAATCTATTTCTGGAAGTACTCGTATTATCTCGTATTATCGTAAGACATCTATTATCCAGTACCTTTTATCTTATAAGTCTTCTAGTTTCAATGTTACTTACAAACTGTTAAGTAAATAATTTGATGTGACATTAGCATGGCTAGGTTAAGTTGTACCGGCAATCCCAAGGGATCTACTCAGACCTATAGGCCAAATGTGTTACCTTATAGTTAAAAACCCAAGGGTCAGAATTACTTAAAATCTTTGGCAAAGCTATAATGCCATTCAAAAGGAGGTCTTGCAGTTCGAAAAGGTTAAGGTGGCAAAGCGCATGTGCCGAATAGAAACACAGCAGTTGAGAGGTACTTTCATCGTCCTCACCACAACTGCGAAGGGTATGGTTCAAAGGGAGTTTTAATCTCCTAGCATGGTTACCTAAAATAAAATGAACTGTAAGTAGCATTTAGTAAAGCCTCAGACACTACTATTCGCCAGCTAGAAATTGCACAAAGGCAGGCTTTGAGAAAACTTTTCAAGGTACCATGGTATAAGATGAATCCGATCAAAAAATACATAAAGGGTAGAGCCCTGAAATTATTTACGAAAACTAACAGACTTACCAACACCGCGTTGTCGAATCTCAGAACGGTTAGAGGCTCCTCGGAGAGGTATGCAGATCTGAGGTCAATTATTGTTTAGTCTGATAAAATGATAAACAATAATCCAGTTTAGAGTAGAGAAGGGTTATGAAAAAACCTCGCTGTTAATAGAGAGTAAAACTGTACAACTGCACTGACTCAACTAGCCTCAACATAATAATAAACCTACTACAATACTAATATCTTTACGGGGCATCTCAATGAGAGTTTGATTTTCTTTTATTGGAAGATGGTCAAATTCCATACAGATGCCTGCATAAGTTCGACACAGGAAGAATGCATGAAGTCAACGACTACACTGAGCTTATGGACTTTAAAGCAGCTTGACTATCCGATAGTATGTATACGAGTATATTTCTATCTACTTCTAGACAAGCTATAGCTTGCCTTATAGCAATCACTTCTACCTGAAAATCACTAAAATGATCTGGGAGCCCATAATAAGAGGATGTATTCAGTCTTTCTACGCCACTCCTAGTTTTTAAACCATCGGTAAAAATGATTAGACCCTCCCCCAAGGATGGGACCCCTGATAGCTAAACATTTTTGGATGGGAATTTAATAGTGAATTTCCTTCATTTTCTCTTCAATGTAAAGTAACGTGAACAGATTTTATTGGATTTATTTTATTTTTCTTTAACCAATCCAGCAAGTATGTATCTGCCTGAACTATTGTATCGTAATCATATATTAATAAATTTTTTTGGCAATCGATAGTTTTGTCTTTATAAGGTACAAAACTATCGACAAGAATATGAGTTTAGAATATGGATACCTATGAATTAGGTTGAAACAAAAATAGATCTAATTATAAGATATATTTTATGGTATTGTTCATTAAATCCTATTTTCTTTTACTATTTTCTTAACTAATAAATATTTCTTTTTCTATAGCATATCGTACAAATGAGGGAAAACCTTGGGTATTACCAGTGGTTCGAGCGACCGAAAAAAAGATTGCAAGCGATGAAAAGATTAATCACGAGTACTTATCAGTTTTAGGTATGTTTGATTATAATATAAAAAAAATTGTATACAATTATCTATAATTGTTAATAATAAAACTATAGGGAACGAAATGTTTAGAAAAGCTGCGACTGCTCTGCTATTGGGTGACAACTCTAAAGCAGTACAAGAAAAACGGGTAATTGATCGTATATGTTGTTTTAACATATTGAGTTTAATAATAATAATAATAATGAACTTTTTTAACTTATTTAACCCTTATAGGTATTTGGGGTGCAAACATTGTCTGGCACAGGAGCTTTACGTCTTGGAGCCGATTTTCTAACTAAAATAATGGGTCGTACTGATTTTTACTGTTCTGATCCAACTTGGGAAAATCATTCAAAAGTTTTTTTGGATGCTGGTTTTAAGAATGCACATGAATATCGTTACTGGGATTATAAGAAACGTATTATTGATATCGACGGATTATTAGAAGATTTATGCCAGGCACCAGAAGGTGCTGTTATTATTTTACATGCTTGCGCTCATAATCCAACTGGCATGGATCCATCACAAGAACAATGGAAGCAAATTGCTGATGTAATTGAGGGCAAAAACTTATTCCCATTCTTTGATTCAGCATATCAGGGTTTTGCTAGTGGAGATCCAGATAATGATGCATGGGCTGTGAGATATTTCGTTGATAGAGGTTTTGAGCTTGTATGCTCTCAATCTTTTGCCAAAAACTTTGGTCTTTATTGTGATTAAAAAAGACAAAATTATGAATTAGTCATTTAAATATTTATTTTTTAAGGTGAGCGTATTGGTAATTTAACAGTGGTACAGCAAAGTCCCAAAACAACTGCCGCTGTTCAATCACAATTCACTTTGGTGGTACGCGGCGCATATTCCAACCCACCAGCGTTTGGTAGCAGAATCGTTGGAACAGTACTTAGTGATCCAAAACTTAAAGGAGAATGGTAAGATAACTATTAGAAATAAGTAATAATAGCATATGCAATATAAAATTGGATCGGTATCAAATAGTTGAAAACCGTTAGTAATTGACCATATTCCGAGATGTGTAATGCCCTATAGAAGGGATCACTATAAATATTTATTTTAAAAAGTTCTGTTTACTTTTTTTAATACAACTTTTATGTCCTCATTTTAATATTGAACTTATGTTAACTTTTTTTTAAGGATGGAATCAATAGCAACCATGTCATGCAGGATTCGGCAAATGCGTGAAGCTTTAGTTGAAAATTTAAAGGCACTGAACACTCCTGGTAACTGGGATCACATTGTGAAACAAATTGGAATGTTCTCATACACTGGATTAAATGGTTTGTTTATATTAATTATATTTTAACATTATAGGAATATTTGTTTATACGATTTTTTATATTTACAGAGCAACAAGTGGGTACTCTTATCAAAGATTTCCATGTCTATTTACTTAAAACGGGACGAGTCAATATGTGCGGCGTAAATGATAAGAATGTGAAACATATTGCAAAAGCCATTAACGCTGCAGTATCTAAAAAGTGATATTTCGATATAGTAGAAAAGAACTAAGCTTCTGTATGGAACAACTCATGAGAAGAGGGAGGTGTAATATGGTTTATGAATGACTCAAAGCGCATATATGTTAAGCATTCAATGTCTATGGTAGAACTAGTAAACAAAAAACTAAAATACTAGTATTAATTATATCAGGAATGTCCAATTCTGAATACATTTCATGAATGACTCTCAGCGCATATATGTTAAGCATTCAATGTCTATGGTAGAACTAGTAAACAAAAAACTAAAGTACTAGTATTAATTATATCAGGAATGTCCAATTCTGAATACATTTTGACTACAAATAAATATTACCAATATCCGTCTTTTAAAAGTTCTAAATTAATAAGCAAAATTGTAGATTTAATAGATTGAATATACAGATTTCCAGATATTCAAATAACATTAATAAAAAAAAAAAATATAAAATAAAAAATAAAAACAAGTGTAATTAATATATTCTACTTTATAAATAAGGATTAATTATTATTAAAACCATAATATTTATGGTCAAGTATATTAAGTATCAAAATATTTATCGTACAACATTGTATATCTATTGTAAATAGCATAGGAATTGAATAGAACACATTGATATAAAGATGTGCTGTAAATTCTTGATTTAGTCTTTTTATATATAGATTAGATCTAACAATGCCCAACCCGATATCTATATTTAATTTAATTTCGTCTACCTTAGGAATTGAATATAACACATTGATATAAAGATGTGCTGTAAATTCTTGATTTAGTCTTTTTATATATAGATTAGATCTAACAATGTCCAACCCGATATCTATATTTAATTTAATTTCGTCTGCCTTTATCTTTATTGACTATTTGTATTATTGCGAGCGACGAAATAAATACTCTCATTTTTATTTTACAATTAAAATATGATACTAAAAGAACATTTAATGCATTACTGAAATATAAGTTGTAAAATTATTATGCTCCCTACCAGTTGGATATTATATAAATTATTTACTTATCTTAAAACACCTTTTGTTCAAATACAACATTGCGTTATAATTATAATTGTAATAAAGCTAGTTTCATACCTTAATTAATTTTAATTAACGCTAATACTGGATTCATATCAGAGTTTTGTTTGTAGTTTTAGTTGTCAAAAATTTTCATTTTGCATTGAAAGCAACAACAATTGACATTTAAAATTACAAACATGAAAGCTAAAATTACAAACAAAACTGTTGTGCGAATTCAGTATAATGAAGATTTTACGTTCGTGTAAAAATCAATTAGAAGTGAAAAATTAAATAAAGTCAAATGATTTTAAATGTAGATGTATATATAAAAAGAAAATTAAATTACTTATGAAGATAAATGCTGCACATGAGATGGGATATGTATATATATGCTTAAATATCTTAAATGCATTAACCTGTTAGTGATTGTAATTGTTCATATTTGTATTAGGTGGTATTTATTTTGATACAAGTGTCATTTTATTTATACTATATTACTATAATATTACGTTTACGATTAAAATGATTGAACTTCAGCAAATTTTTAAAAAGTCGCTGATGAAGTTGATTAATACCATGTTTCCACTTGTCTTATTAAAGCAGTTTTGCTCATTAAGGCTGATTATGAGAATTATTTAAATACAAAGAGCTTTTATATTAATGAGCTCATTATAAATGAATTAACTGATTTGAGGTGAAAATTCTGGAAACATAATATAACCGTATTAAGAGCTTTCTAACTTAGTTAAGAATTAATTAAGCGAAATTACACTAAAAATACCGAATGCAGCGTGGCATAATATATTTTTAAAGAAAGAAACGATTGAAATGTGACAATAAATAAAATATACATAAAGAAAAATTCACACAAACTAGAGGTAAAAATATTTTAAAATCTTTGCTTTTTGTGAATAAAACATATATTGGTGTATATCAAATCATTATACAATATAATTTTACAATAAATATTGTTTAACAAAAGTTCGCCTTGAACTTTTACTGAGCTTTTTGACACATAAAAGCTCTTTTATATGCATAAACCAACTTCTGCCCATGGAAACTAAAGCATGATATCGACGATGCTACATGTATTGCAAGTATGCAGTCCAAGTATGCGCTTTGCTAAACACTTTGAATCGATGTAGTTTTACTGCATACATGTCTGCAGATCAGAATTTAGCATGCTTACCTGAATATACACAGTGCGATTTGGTAGCACAGCATACCTGGTTTGTATACATGTAGTATCGTCTATATTATGCTTAATATATCTTAATTTGATTTACATTTGGTTTAGCTGCAGTGGGAATATGTTATAATTTTCGGGTGTGCTTGTTAAAGTAATAAAATTGTGTTTATTTATTTTTATGAAAATGCAATGTCACTGAGTTATCGAATTATTAAGTTACAGCCTTAATTTGATAATTTTTTCGGTATATCTGATTTTTATTATTGTGTAGTGTTGTACGATATTTAACTTTAATCTAAAATTAAGTATCTTGAAAAATAATAAATAAGATTTATTTGAATTAAAATTTTATTTTTGCAAACGGTTTTATGTTAAACGCAACAAGGATCAAAATCCGCTCTTTATCAAATAATTTTATTACATTAACTAGCAATTAAATTTTATTTTAACGTCATTATGACGGCAGTGACATTATGACAATAGTGATTATATTTAATAAAGCGACAATTCATTGCTTTTCAGTGAATTACAACAAAATTTTTATTTATATTATTTTAAATATTTTTTGAGACTGGAGATATCAAACGTTTATCATTTTATCATTGCCAGCGATGTTTGCATAAAATTTTCGCCTACATGCTGAAAATTTGTTAGATGACTATAAATTATTGTGAATGTTCCTTGTACAAAGAAGAAGCAAGTCTGTCAAACAATTTTGATGGCACAATGGCAAAGAGAAAATTATTAAATTTTTAAATAAAATATATCTTCATAGAGATATATGTTTACGGGTTACTCTCTGATATATATAAATGTAATTCAAATTTTTGCACGTTAATAATTTGTCTCATTGTTTAAATTGTAACTTTAAATAATGAATCAAGTTTGCCGCCAGCAGAGAAGACATTACGTTAGAAACGTCATCGCTTTCATTTTTAGCTTTTACGCAAATTATACTTTGCACTGCAATTCTTAACTCACTCAATTTCGCTGTTAGTAAAAGTTGGGCCGCCGGTTTGTGTGTTTCTTGATTAATTTTGGTCGGGTGTTTATTTTCAAACATTGCTAATTAATAACATTGCGCTACGCAATTAAAGCATTAAATTCATTCATATTTTTGGCATAATTTTTTGCTTCGAAAAAAAATTTTCGTGGTTACCACAATTTTAATAACCAAATTCCAATTCCTGAAATTACACTGAACCAATACAAGTCCAACATGTCATCTGTTTTCGATGGTGTCAAAGGAGGGCCAGCAATTGAAGTTTTCGCCTTAAACAGAGCCTTCATTGAGGACAAAGACCCCAATAAGGCTAATTTGGGAGTAGGAGGTAAGTGAGACTTTTATGAGAATGAGATTTTTATATAATTTTCCATCAAAAGAAAATAGAAAGAAGCGTTTACATATACATTTTCCTAAAGTGAAGACATTTTTTTGACGCTTTGGTTACGTGACTAAATATTGTCATTTTTAATAATTCCATGCTCTAAATGTGTGACGTTTTAAGGTCATATTAAAGGTCAAATAAGATTTTGTTTTATTCTGCTTATTTGTTTATAATTTTCATATTTGTTTGCTGCTCCGCAATAGTATTAATTTCTAAATATTCTGCGCCTCTTGTATTTGCTGACGACAATTGAAAAGTTAGAATAATTGTGACAATTGATTCACATCCTATTGAGATGAGAGCTGTGTTAAGTACAGTAATCTCTGAATAAATACAATAATCAATAAAGTGTGGTTCAAGCTGAATAATATTAATTATTGTAATGTTTTTCAGTTTGAGTTTATTGTGTATTACTTCACTTTCTAATAAGTGCTCGAATAATACCAAGAAACTAAACTCACCTCCATATTTTTTTCTTTTAATATAGATTTTAATTAAATTAGAAAGTATATATGTTGTTATTTATTGTTGTTAGTAAAATTATTTTTTACTAAGTAATTCATAATAAATTCACAATTTGTTATTAATTATTTATAGAAACTCGCGATTATGACCGAAAAGGTCGTCAGTCGGAAGTTAAGTTAAAATTGTTAATAAAAAGAAGTTCAAAAATTAAACGCTAATAATAAAATAAATAATAATAAATAGAAATATTTTAATTAAAATTCTAAACATATATTGAACTTTCGTTTTCTTGTCTAATCCATTCAAACTAAATTATGTGTTCCTCCCAATAAATCTATTAAGCTAGAGACTGAGCGATTAGAGTTCCGAAAGAGACTATTCAACTCTTTTATAAAAATAATTTTCAAAAAATAAAAACTTTGTTCCGTCACAAAAGCAAAAACAAAATAATATTTAATAAGTAACATGATATGAATGTGAGTTAGATTAGGTTAGGTTAAAGGTCGCAATATTTCTAGTATTACTAGTCCGAGATACCATGGACAAGTGTTATGCATACGCAGACTAGAAGCTCCCCCAAAACGAACGTACAACGCTTCGATTGTCAAGTGAAAATAAACCAACTTGGCAAGTCTATAAAATTGGTCAAAAATGTAGGGTTTACGAAGATGTAGATATGGCTTAATATTATAATAAAACAATAATAATATGATAATACAATATACATAAAATCTTCCTTCTATCATGTATTTTCTCGAAATCGTCTTTTAAGCGAGCTCCCTATGACTTTTTTCTTAAGAATGAAAATTTATTGATTAATCTTTATATGCGTTTGCAAATTTGTGAAAAATCAGTGAGTAGTTCGCTTCAAAGGTCGATTACTGAAAAGGGTGCGTAATAAATGGAAAATATTTTCGGTGAACATTATAAAAAAAATTTTCCTGATAAAATTCAAGAAAATGTTTATTAACCACCATAATTTACGAATCCATTTGAATTTAAAGAAATATTAGGCATCACATTAAAAGATTTTTAATAGATTAAAAATTTACTTTTGAAAGTATTGGGTGTTCTTTAGCTGTATGATTTTTCACGTAGAGTTCACCCTGTATCTCGATTGACATTTGAAATGAGTCTCCTCTTCTCATAAGGTTTTCTTCTTGTTTTAGGCCGATGTCTTATCTTATATATAGTTCTTACAAAATTTCTTTTAAAATATTCATAAATTGTACTTAATTTTTGCACTTATTAAGTACATATCATAATTATGTCAGTGATATTCATCTGATGGCATTATGAAAAGGACATTTTGACAATAATACAATATTGTGACAATTACATTATGGCAACGAGATTAAGCCATTTAACTAATGTTATAGCTTAGCTCTTTCAAATTCTACAGAATGTTAATCAACATTAATGGAAAGGTAAACATTTTTTTGGCTAATTAGTTTTAAAATTGTTACTACCGACTAAACTTCAGTAACATATATTACAATTCTAGCTTAAAGTACAGATAACTCTATTTAAGATCGAAAACCATTATTATTATTACTTTTTGCTAATACTGGTGATATCGGATAAACACTTACGAACACTTACGAGTCTAGAGGAGATGAACGCCATCTGTCAAATACCATGCAGTACCAGATTAGATGAGTGATGTTTTCTTTTTCTCTCCCTACACCTGTAAGAGGCAAGCATTTCGACCAGTTATGGAGAGGATATTAGATATCTAGTAAATTGAACAATTAATGAAAATCTTGAATCGTTCTAAAATATTAAGAAAATAGTGACCCACATTATCTTATCTTATGTTAATGAACTTATAGATTAGATTTAGATTGCTCTATTTATTAAATACAGCACAGACGTGCATTTTTAGCCATAGATTAAAGTTTAAGGCATAGTTAAAATTTATTAAAACTTATTTAAAAAACAGACAAAAATAGAAAAAAAATTAAAACACAAATATAATATTCAGTTGAGTTTGAGTTTCATTCTACTAATTCATATGAAGAAACTATTCGCAATAAATAATAAAAATTTAATATATATACTTACAAACTTTTAAATAAAATTTTTATTTCTCTAATTTAAAACACCTAATAAAGATTTCTAGTCACTGATATAAGTTTTTGCATGAATTATGAAACCTTTTTAAGAGAATATCTTATTCTGGCAAATTTACGACCTGCAAAATCAAAAAATAACCTAAGAATTCCATTGAAGAAAACATCAAAGCGCTTAACTCTCTGCCTGAACCTTAAAATCCGGTTCTTTTTAAAGGTTTTGTCGATTGAATCTTCAGATAACTCAAATAACTTAAGATTGAACATAAATTTTGTTTTAGTCATTGAACTTGACCAAAAAACTCAGTTACGTGCTTTTTCGCCTCTTTGGTCGTTCACCTCTCAAACAAATTAAGATACAAAACGGAAAAAGGTATTATTTATGGATCTCTAAAATCGAACAGATAGATAGATGATGAAAAAGTAACTGAAATTTGTAAATTAATGTTTAAAATATTTCATTTGCATATTAAATTCATTTATATAATTTTGATGTTAATATCTCTCTATTTAATGGTGAGAAAAAAGATTAAAAATGTTATGTGACAATATTGAGATACATTCGTCGTCCATTGATGTCATAGTCGTATATTCAATATTTATAGCTTGAAGAGCATACACACACTTTTATTTGTTAATTATTTAAATTAGTACGAATTGGTTTGAATACAAACAAATAATGTTGAGACAACATTTATTAGCGCGTATTTGCGTATTTGCATATTTGTGCAATTTGTTTAGTTTAGAATATTAATTAGTTGATTCTATTTGTTTAACAATTTGTGACAAAATTATTTTAATCTTTGGTCGAAAAATTTACATAAACAAATTCAAAAATTATTCATTAATTCGATTCTAATAGTCTTAAAATAGAACTTCCAATTTCTTGTGATAGAACTTGCTAATTGTGACAGAATTATTTGAAGTTTTGAAGTGCGTGGGTACATTAAAAGAAATGGTAGTATCTAATTATGCATTTTCGAAGTACATTTTATCTCTTAGTTTACATACACATAACACTATGAATAAATTGTGGTTTCCAAATCAACGCATCCTACTTCACATACTCATACTGCTATGAATAAGTTGTAGTAGACAATTCTAATCTCTGATGAGATGATGAGTGGAAATAGTCCTTGCTTTGTCAGAAGTACTTGTGGCTGTCGTTTATAATTACAAAGGTGATGGATAGTTGACTAATTGTACTTTGAATTACTGTGTTTGAAATAATCTTACGCGGTTCCAACTTCTTTGCAGACCTCTAACGGATGTCCTATGAAAAGAGATATGAAATCTAAAATTATCAATAATTCATTCTATTAGAAAAGTGTAGAATAATAACAGTAACGTTAGATTGATTATATTACAGTTCAAAGAAAATGTAATATATTTTAAAATATAGATCGTTCTTTATGGAAAGTTTAAAAAAATAAGTAAAATTGTATAATAACTATAGTACAGTTGAAGGAAATTATATTAATGAATTAAACCTAATCTTGTCCACCTCTTATATTAAAATTAGCTTCATAAACAAAAAGATTCTTTATTAATAATTATTTAAATTAATAATTTGAATGTTATACATAACAACTCACTCGAACATTTGAACTCTTCGGCGTTACCAATCTCAATTCCTGCGAACCATCGTTAATGCTCCATTTTATGTTGCTAATGCTAATATATATAAAGATCTCGATATTCCTACAACAATAGATATCTTAATAGACTATAGTTAATAGTTATATTAACTATAACAATAACTTAGATTTAAATTGCAGGGATAATAGTTTAACAATAAGAAAAGCTAAAATAAAAAGTTCTCGATCTACCGGATAGATATTATAGATTTAAAGCGTACAATATATATCGTATATAATAGTAAGTTTCATTGGAAGCTTTCTATTCTTATAGTTTTATAGATCCTATCAAATTTACTTATTGTCTACCTATGGACAGATTGTAACTAAAAAAATAAAAAAAAAGAATGGTTATGTTTACCATTCTTGATTAACTTTTTAGTTTCAACCAGTGATGTAGGGAAGTGGGGGGTTTGGCAATTGTAAAGGTAATTAAAACTATAAAATTCTAATAATATATTTGTAGTTATATTAACTATCTGCCGTTATGGTGAATGACGAGCGCTATCTAGCGATGCTGACTGAACTTTTTTTTCCAAAAATTAATCAGTTAAACATCGACGGTATTTGGTTCCAACAGTACGGCTCTGGCGCAACCTGCCATGCAGCGCGCTCAACAATCGTTTTCTTGAAAAATCAATTTGGTGACAATTTTATTTTCAGAAGTTTTTCTGTTAATTGGCGCTCTCGTTTGTATGATTTAACGATACTCGATTATTTTTTATGGGGTTATGTTAAGTTATTGGTTTATGCCGACAAACCAGCAACTCTTGAAGCATAGTAAGCCAATGTTAATGCCACCATTGATACCATACGGTCACATTTATTGCGAAAAATAGTCAAAAATTGAACTGATCGAATGAATCATGTGGTTCGTAGTCGCGGTGGATATATACCGGAAATCATATTCAAAAATAAATACCATGAAATTATCTACCAGATAATAATAAAAAAAATTTCATTCCAACAATATTTCTATCTTGTATTATCGTTTCAACTTCTTATGCAGCTAAAAAAACACCAGGTAAAATAGATGACTGATTTTCTAATAGAATTTGTTTCTGTTAAATACGATCCTTTACGGATAGGACTAAAATTTTGTCAAAAGCAAAAAAAACATCAATCTATCTTATGTTTTGCGGTTATCTATAAATCAATTTAATATGTTTATTAGTTTGATAAGCTTATTAATCCAATTCTACAACACATCTTCAGTGATACCACAATTTACAAGTCCATTGATATTAAATTAAAAATTATAATAAAATTGTGTCTAAAAGATCTATTAGTTTTTCCATTTTAAGAGAATTTCGTAATTTAGCATGTAAGGTTGCATGGATTTCCCGAAAATATTTGTACATCTTATCTACTTGTATGTTTAATTTACACAATTCATTTTTTTTGTATAAATATAAATGAAAGTCAAGTATATTTGTTAACTAATTCGCTACCATAACGTTGATAACGGTAGGTGATAAGCCGAAATAAGCGATTTATGCCCAATAAATTCAACGAGCTTTGAAAGTGTTTGATATACAAAGTACACATTTTTACTATCTGAAAAATCAGGTAATATATACTGACGTATAGTCGTATAGTATTCACAATTCTATGTTAACAGGAAAGTGTCAGTTTTGGATGAGAAACGTGTGCTTACAGTTTTGTTCTGCATTGCAAAGCAGCCATAAGCAAAATTAACCTTGGCCAAGGCTTAAGTATCATTTTGACTGAAAAATACAAAAGAGTCAAATTAAGCTTTGTAGGATGTTGTTGAAATCCACTTGTTTCATAACAAATAGGCGTACAAAATGTGTGTTCCGTTGTAAGCGGGCTTATGCGGAAAAAGCAATGTTTCAGATACTCAAATTGCACTCTAAGCCTTGCTGCACTTCACATTCGCAATGCAATCGCCATTCAGTGATGTCAGAGCAATTTGACACTGCATTTTACAGTAAACTGAAAAGGGAAAAGTATCTTTTTATTGTAATTGCATATGTTCTTTTGTATGTTAAGAGTAAAAAAAATTTGGGACATTAAACTACTTCATAATTAGTTGAACTTAATTATTAAATATTAATAAATACATGGTTAAGTAATAACGGTGCTGAACCACACACATTACCTATCCCTGCGGTGGTAATTTGAAGTTACATGGCTTTATTGATGAACACTCATGTTTAGAGCAAAATTATATTCTACGCTTATAGGGCACTTGACTTAGTAGAATAACATAACGTTAGTTTCTTAATATAATTAACTAGTATTGGCTGTAGTAAGAATAAAAACCCATAAGATGGTTAGCAGGACTTACCAGTACTTCGTAACAATGTTGATAATCTAGTCTTTTAGTATTAATTGAAATTACCTTTAATTATATCATTAATTATATGTATTAATTATATTAATTATATTAATTATATATAATTATATGTATTAATTATATATAATTATATGTATTAAATATATATAATTAAATGTATTAATTATCTTAATTATATATTATACTTTAGTTAACCCGGGTGTTAATTTAAATTTAAACCAACTGAAAGTCGAATATGTTAACACCTTCAACTACTTTGATAGCATGTTCACTACTAAGGGTGAGGCTGATGAGGACATCTCGGCGTGCATAAACAAAGCTAAGGCTTCATTTGGCATGCTACGCTCTATCTGGAAATCTCAACATATCTCTGTAAAAATTAAGTTGTGCATTTATAATTTCAACATCAAATCAGTGTTATTTTATGGAGGCGAGACGTGGAAACGCACTACTGTCATCGACACTCGCCTAAGAACTTTTTCCAATAAATGCTTGCATCAGATTCTCACCATCTGGTGGCCTAATCGTAACAGCAATACTATCACAAACCAAATATAAACCTCTGAAAAAGTATGTATGCGTAAATCGCTTTGGATCGGTCATACCGTTCGCAGATCCCTTGCCAATATTGCTCATTAAGCACACAGACGTGACTACCAGGAAAGTGGCCGTCGTGTTAGAGCGCCTGCTAAAACATGGCGAAGGACTGTCGATTTCAATAGTAAGCAGCAAATATTTTTGGATAAAAACCCAAGGATTAGAACCATTTAGAACCTTTGACAAAGCTTATAATACTATTCAGAGGGAGGTTTTGCATGTACCGAACATATAGTACTATTCACTAAATCCTACAAGTGCTACTTGTTAATTTTTTCTATTATTTAATTTCTATTCTCTCGATAAAATATATTTATTTTTATTTTGTTTTGCTATTTTCTTAATTAATAAAAATTTGTTTTCTCTTAGCATATCGTACGAATGAAGGAAAACCATGGGTGTTACCAGTTGTTCGTAAAGCCGAAATACAAGTTGCCAGCAATGAGGAGATTAACCACGAATACTTACCAGTTTTAGGTACGGTTTATTATACTACAAAAACCATTCACATATAATAATCTATTGTTATTATTAATAAAATTAAAGGTAACGAAGCATTTAGGAATGCTGCAACTGGTTTGCTATTGGGTAATGACTCAATTGCAATACAAGAAAATCGGGTAATTATACTTACATATATGTTTTTTCCATTGAGTATAAAAACTATAAAAATAATTTCAAATAAATTGTAGGCTTTTGGTGTGCAAACCTTATCGGGCACGGGAGCGTTACGTCTTGGAGCCAATTTGTTGTGTAATTTAATGGATCGTGTTCATTTCTATTATTCCAATCCAACTTGGGAAAATCATCATAAAGTGTTTACAGATGCTGGTTTTAAACATGCTAATGTATATCGTTATTGGGATACTAATCGACATGTTATTGATTTTGAAGGACTTATAGCAGATTTGAAAGATGCACCAGAACATTCAGTTATAATTTTACATGCTTGCGCTCATAATCCAACTGGCATGGATCCAACCCAAGAACAATGGAAGGAAATTGCTGATGTAATGGAGAGGAAAAATTTATTCCCATTCTTCGATTCAGCATATCAAGGATTTGCTAGCGGAGATCCTGATCGTGATGCATGGGCTGTAAGATATTTCGTAGAGCGTGGCTTTGAACTTGTCTGCGCCCAATCTTTTGCCAAAAATTTTGGACTTTATTGTAATTAAAAAAAAAATGAAATAAGATTAAATATTCATAATTAAAGGAACTATTTTTTAAAGGTGAACGTGTTGGTAACTTAACAGTTGTACAACGTAATCCCAGCACAACTGCTAATGTTCAATCACAACTTACTTTATTGGTACGCGGCGCATATTCTAATCCACCAGCGTTTGGTAGCAGAATCGTTGAATTAGTACTTAACGATGAAGAACTTAGAGCAGAATGGTAAGAATATGTAGTAAATAAATAGTTAACTAGAATAATAATTTAAAAAAAATTTGTTTTCCATATTTTTAGATAAATTACTACTTAATCTTAAGTATTTTTTTATATAAGACACGCAACATATTATTTTAAAACTGTTATCTAGAGACATTAAAAGTTATTTAGTTCTTATGTTGGTATGATATGCAAAGTTCTGATAAAGTTCCGAGTTGGGTCTGTGTCTCGGAGCCATTTGTTAACATTGATGATTAAGTTTCGCTCATCACTCCTATCTCAGTTAAATTATTTGTTAAGAATGTGGGTCAAAGTTTTCGTAAACACTAACAAATATTACTGTTGAATGCATTAACTGTTAAGAATAGAATCATTGTAATATTTTAAATTATGTTTTGGTTTTTCTATCATATAATATTGTATAGGTAGGAGAAGTTCTTTTATTTTTTCACAGATTATGCTCAAGTTTAATTAATTTAAATTATACATGTATAATTACATACATATAAATGTATTTTTATCTGGCAATACTCTTGGGATTAGAATTTGAAACTAAATGTTTTAAATAATGTTATTTAATTTTAGTTATGACTGTACTTAACTGCTACCAGTTGTTATTATTTATATATATATATATATGTATTGATCGAGTAAACTAATATTATCAACTAAGACTATTAACATGAAATTCCACATGTTTCCATTCTAAAACACTTTGCTTATCAAAATGAATTACAATAATAAAATTAAATAAAAAATGTTATTTGAGAAGTTAATTTTTTATTACATATGGATAGTTTGTCTTTATTTTGAGAAATAATTTTCTTTATAACTTATGAATGAATAGCTTTTAAGCATGTGTTCTTTGAAAAATTATTTTTGTTTTAACTTATAAATAAATAAACTTAAAGATGAATAATTTTCTTTAAAGCAGAAAAAAAAAATTCATTGAAATTAAACTATTTTTAATAGTTTAATCATAAACTATTTTAATTTTTTATTATTAAGGAATAAATAATTAATTTATTGTAATTAATATATACAAATAATTAAATTAATTAATTAATTATCATTTTGAAATTTAAGCATAACTTATTCTTTTAATATATATTATATATGTTGTACTTGGTACTTCTTGTTAATACTTTTTATTGTATTTTTAAAGGATGGAGTCAATACAAACTATGTCAAATAGAATCCGTGCAATGCGTGAAGCTTTAGTTGGAAATCTCAAACAACTAGGAACCCCTGGTAACTGGAATCATATTATTAAACAAATTGGAATGTTTTCATATACTGGATTAAATGGTATTTAATTGCATTTAAATTGCAGAATATAAATTTATAACTTTTTAATAATTTTTATCTTTACAGAGGAACAAGTTGCCAATCTTATTAAAGATCACCATATTTATTTACTTAAATCAGGACGTATCAATATGTGTGGCATAAATGAAAATAATGTAGAATACATTGCAAAAGCCATATATGATGTTGTTACTAGAACAGAGAGTAAACTGTAATAAAGTTAAAAAGGATTAATGAACTCCTGTAGATTTAAACTGGCACAAATAATAGAGACAAATAAATGTAATATGGTTTTCATAAATGACTAAAAATGCACACATACTAAGCCAAACATACTAATGAAATAATGCAAACTTCGAAAACTAATTAGGGAATCTAATAGTATTATATATTGATGCATTAAATCCCTATGGTACAAGAGAATAAAAAACAATAACTATAATGAACAATATCAGAAATCGACCCACTGAAATTATTTTTGCATATAAAACAATTTTACCAATATTTGTAATAGAATTTACTTCAACTTTTACAATATGTTTTATTAATTATTAAAATTATTATAGTGCGTATATATTTATTAGTAAGTTTAAAATGCAAATTTTAACACAAAGTTTACTTGAAAAAATTAGCGATTTAAAAAATGAAATACACAGATTTGATAAATAAAAATTAAACTGAAAAAGTGATGCGTAATATATATATTTGAACCGTAACATAATATTTGATTAAGCATTTTAAAAGCTATATGTTTTTATAAAAATAAAAGATGTTTGCAATTTTTATTGTATATTAGTTAAATTATATAAATAAATTGTATTAATCGCCAAGTGTAAACTAATATTTGGTATTCTTTGTAAGGGCTCTTTGTTAATAAAAGATCATGTACCATTAGATCTGAAATGTGTTATAGAAGTTTGAAATATACTTAAGTTTAAAAATAAACTGGTTCCTCAATGATATATCAAGTAGTACTCATATATGTAGAAGAAAAATTATTGTAAACTATACTTACACCAAAAACATAATATTTTTAAAAATGCAAAAGTCATTAAAATGTATTACAATATCAAAATGTAAAAAAAAATTTTATAGTTTATTTGGCTTAAAATTTAAGATGAAGGTGTAAAAGAATGCATTTTTAACAAAAATCAGTTTACAAGAGTAGATTTAAAAATATTTAAATTAATAATTGTTATTTGTGTGTTTTGTACACTTAATTGTTAAAATGTAGCATTTGTAAAGAAATTCATAATGCAAATATATTGTGCAACTATGCCAAAAGAGCTTAAATTGTTTATATATATGTATGTATAAATATATGTATATATATTTAGTGTTAGTGTTGGATTTTCAAGACAATAAACAGAGTCAAGTTAATAAACTGTTAAACACATACTATTCACATGACTTTGTTATTCTTTATTATTATAATAAACATTATATTTGCTTTTCAATTAAGTATTGATATCAACTGATTTTGCAGCGGCGATAAAGAATTTATTATTATTTACAGAGAAAACCATCTAATTTTGGCAAATTTCGAAATTGAATTTTCGTGATTAATTAACTTGAAATAAAATATTATTAGCTCTGTTACTTACTGCTGGTACTCTACTCTGCTTTAACCTTACTAAGTGAGTATACAAACAACCTTATCAATGCGAAATCACTTCAAATGTTATCAGTAAAATTTATCGGAAATTTGCACAATATTTCGTTATTTATCATGTGGCATGTTGACGGTTGATTTGGAGGCCGTTTTATTGTCAGTACAGATTGGTAGTCTACTCAAAATTACAGTAGTTTTTAGGCTTTATACGTTTAATTGTTTATTGCATGTAATACAATTAATATTAAGATGGATACTTCAGATATTATTTATTAAGTTCTGATAATTATATCATACTTAGATAGATAAAATGCCAAATATTCCTGCAAATAGATTAAATAAACACTTGCTGATTACGTTTGACATAAAACATAATTATCTCTATGAGATAAACAATGTTTATACAAATCATTTTTATTTTAGAAAATTTCTTGTTTTATTTCTTACAGAAATCTGAGTTTGGTCTTAGTATAATGTGAAGCATTTAAAGACTTGTATCTTCAAGTCATGTCTAACTTCCCTGTTCATATTGGCTTCATATAACAAGACTAGACCTATAAAACTTTTTAAAAGCGACTGCGTGAATGCTGCTTACTGCAGCTGTTTCTGGTCACTGGTGTATGGGAACTGCACCCACTGCTGAAATTGAGAAAACTTACAGAAAAGAGACACAATTAAGCATTTTCTCTGCCACTGCTTTCAGAAGAATCAAGTTTGTAGGAAACTATTTTTTTGAAGTTTGTCAGATTGTTCATCGGTAAGAACAAAAGTTCTTTTAAATTATCTAAATTGGTCGGAACGGATTTAGTTTTTGTGTTTTTATCTCTTAAGATTTCAAGGAATGTAGCAGTAAAACGGTGAAAAATCGGTATTTATAGAAAGAAATGAGATTTGTGCTGATCTGCCACTGCAACCAACCTATCAAAGTGAAATCAAAAAATATAAAATATTCTGTAAGGATTTAATATCTGTAGGCCATATTATATAATACAGGCCGTATTGTTATTAAGAAGTAAATACATAAATGCACATAATCTTCATAGATTATAAAAATTATGTTGAAGCTCTTTGAGCTAGTGCAGTTGTGCACTTTTACTCTTTCTTAACTCAAGGTATTTTCAAATCCTCTCTTTACGCCTTGACTGGATTAATGTTTATCACTTCATCAGACTAAGCATAGATTATAATCTACTAAAAAAAATATTAAGATATTTGACAAAAAGAAGACAATCCACTAGATAAGTATGCTTATTTCCAATTAAGTTAGATTTTAAAATTTACTTACTGTGTAGTCATCTATCTGTAAAATCTGAACTTATTTAAGATAATTCAGTCCCTCATTAGTTAAAAGCTATTCAGCTTTATCATTGGTTAACAGATGGACTATGGTTGAAACTAGCCAGGGTCAAGGTAGAGAAACCAATAGATTTGGCTACTGCAATAGATTGAAGCCAAAAATCAATAAAGCTCACATTTCGATATGAGAAATGGTGGGTACTATCTTGGGAAGTTGAGCTGTAGTATTGGTATATATTAAAAATCAAATAATTTATTTGTGACAAGTAACTGTTTAGCACTTGACTGAACATCTGTACGGGGCTGTTAATCATTGTTTATAGATGAACTCACTGTAGTTAGCTCTATTGCAATATGTGAAGATGTAATCATAGTAGATTTAGTCACGCATTTACGCTGATGATGTTTAGGTTCCTTCAAAGAACATATAAATCTATTAAGTTGTTTTTAGTTCATCTCTTTTATCTAGTTCTTTGTGCTACACATGTCATAGTGGCGTATAAGATATGAATGTTATTCGTTATTCAATTTCATGTGTTTTTTGCGCTGATGTTTTCATCCTAGGAAATGATACCATTGTTCTATCGATTGACTGCAATCTTCCTCTTTTTCTACTTCTGTTAACTTTGCTATGTACAATCGGCTCTTCTCTCTCTCCCAAGTTTTTAATTTGTTAACTATTTGACCTATGTTCTTTTTCTTTGTTACAATATTATTTTTAGATATAATGTTTAACTATTTGATAGCAGCGTAATGCATAAATAAATTTTTTCATAAATGGATTTTTTCAATACTTATGAGGTGATGTAATTGATTTATATTTAATCGATCCTGAAATAAATAATAGAAAAAAAATAATATAGAGGTCAACGTCAATTAATGTCTGTTGTCTCTACACAGATGAAGCTTTCAGTATTTAAGTGACGCTGTTAATATTATATATGGTTTTACATAAAACGCTGCCAGACTCCACCAAACATTGATGTTAAGTTTTTAATAAAATCTAAATATGCAGTGCTAAAAGATAAGACTATGCACAATATATATATCCTACACATAGTGTATATTTGCCTCTAATAATAATAGTAATGTTTCTCTTTTATACAATTTTTATAGTTTAAATTAAAATCAAATTTATAAAATATAGAGCAGATCTAATAGCTTATCAATTATAATGACTCAATTTCACTATTAATTCTACAACACAATTAATTATTTAATAGTTTATTATACACACACTAAGATATTACACTAATATTGCAGCTTACTACATTATTTATTTTACTTATTTTAATTAATTTATTTAAACCTCGTAAAGCATTAGATAGTCTGTTTGGTCTTGAAGCGGGAAATACGTGTGCTTGTCGTGTTACTATTTTAACTACTTAACTTGTAAAAATGTTAGCAGGTTTTAATTAGTATAATAAAAGATTTTTATGATTATTCGAATGTTTAGATACAAAAAAAATGAACCTCATAGATATTTTATCTTAAGGCAATAACATAAGTTACATACTTTAACCTTAATGAGCGAGTCTAACCCGCCTCTTGTAATTAAGTATGATCCCTTTGCTTACAAGCAAGCAATTAACACTTAATCGTTTGAATAAGTTTTAGTCAAAGAAGATTGATGGGATTTTAAGGTATAAACAATACCAAATCTTATACGATTAGTGGTTTTCGTAATGTGCTGCTTCCAATAAACCTTCCAACAAATCTATTAGCTAAGAAAAAAATAATCGTTACACTTACAGAGAACCATAAAGAAATATGTTCAACCTATTCTGGTTCGTTAAACATAATCACTGCTGTAATCGCTACGCCCCACAATTGTTCCTTTTACTGGAAAGAGCTCATTAATCATGAGCTGAATTACTCTATATATTTTTTTTAAATTCACTCCCTATAATTTGAAGATATTTTTTACTTTTGCTTTTGTTGATAATTAAAAATAGAAGAAAATTATTCAAATTCCTCGTTTGATTCAGAGCATCAGCTAGTCTTTGAGTTTTATTAATCCAAGAACATCGACTGAGCTTTCACTTTATCAGTGATTTTGCATTGTGATTAATCATTCACTTTGATTTAATTAATTGCAATGTGAATAAAATGAGTTCAATTAAGTAATTTTGTTTCAAAGAAACTGAAACTGAAAATGAAAGTTTTGCTTAAAGTAGTTTTCTACAAATTCCGCTTTGTAGCTATTAACCATGAAAATAATTTTATATAAGTGCAGTTTTTAAACATTGTAATTAGATACAAAATACTACTACATTAACATTAAAAATTATAAAACTAAAAGAAAATTGTTGAGTAAACCAATTTTAATGACACTAAAATCTTGATGAAAATACCAAATGAAAAAGCGGCTCAGTAAGATATGAGCAGGTCTGGTTTACAAATCCGGACTCTACTCTAAAATTTTGTTGCGAATTGCTTTACATTTAGTGTTCAACGAGAGACAAAACAATACTTCAAAAGACTCAACCAACAAGAAACCTAAGATCATATCATTATACATTAATACTGAATCACCAAAGCTAAAAGTTAGTCAAGTAGTAAATTGCTTGTGTACTGTGTTAGTGCTTGTCGATGAGCATTGTTGCACATGTATATGAAAATGCAGTTCTCAAAACCCCTTGGACCCATAAAAATTTTGCCTATGTTTGTCTTATTATTTTATTTGATTTTTATTTTAGCTGAACGCATAAAA